TATGTAGAAGGAGAATATGTTAAACGAATTAACAACTATAGGTAGGTTATCTAACACACAGTAGCAGAACATGTTCGAGCAAATTAAATACCTATAGGCAGGATTGCTACCCGTTTCATGTAAATATTAAAATAAACCCATTTTCCTGATTTTACTAACACCCCAATTGTTATTACAACATTATTACATACCCAATGAGTGAAATAAATTACAAAGTTATAAAATAACTATAGTAAGCCTTAGACAGGCCTAAAGTATATCCTGCCTGGCCAGGCCTTCAATCTCAAGTCCACATAGTTTCACAACAGCCCGGAAAATAATCTCCATAGCCAAAACCCAGTAGCCAAAGCTAACCAACAGCCATTAACACAAACCAACGATTTATCCAGTAGGTGAAAAAGGGGTAGGATGGAGCATTTAGGACAAAGAGCCAAGGAACCTTAGACCCTAGTGTGTCAGAGTTCACAAGGGTCTCAAAATGGATCCCGAGCTGTGCTCAGACTAGGGAGGTCAATGATAGAACCTAGGTAGCCTTGGCTTTCAGCCAGCTAAGAATGAGAACTCAAAAGAGCCCAGGTAACAAGTGAAATAGAGTAAACTAAGGTTGAGGGACAGCACTGAATGATACAAACATAGTCAAATTGAGCACATAGAGTAGATAATCGAACATGCTTTAGGTTTTAAGATCAGACTTAGCAAAGATTCAGTAGAACAAGTTCAACACCTAGTGCATAGTAAGGAAAAGGTTCAAATTATGCTATGTATAGGTACTAACATTACAAGAAGGGATCATATTAACAGAATAAGAACAGATCATTGCAGCTACTGAGAAATCAAGACATGTTAGAAGCATAAGGAACAGGATAAAACATGTTACATAAGCAGGATATCATCACAGCAAATTCAGAATAGGACAGGAAACAGACTTAGGCTATACAATTAACGTATACACTCATGCTTTTGAACACAATCAGGTAATCTATTAAAGGGATACGAATCATGTCAGTAAAGCATGTTCAAGAAACAGGATTGATAACAACATTAAACAAAGAGACACAAAGGTCCTAAATATCAGTAAGTTGCAACACATAGGCTAGATAAGTTTGAAAAGAATCTAATTAACTTAAATTAGTTTTAGGCATGTTTCAAATTACCAACATAATGAAGTCAAAGATTAAAGAGACCTAAAACTGAAGTAAAGCATTCAGAATCGCACACAAGAACAACCCAGAAAAACACATTAAACTACAACCTCTAGTAGTGAAAATATGTGCAAATCCCAGATACATGGGAATGAAACTACGAGGTCCAGTAACTTACCAGTTAAGCGAAAATACAAGAAAGAACAAAATCCACAGTATTCTGAATATCAACGAAGAGCATGATCCTAGAATTTCAGGGGCCTTGGCTTTTAGCCGGCCAATAACCAAAATATAGAAAACTGAAGGAATAACAGAATAGAGCTTTAAATTTTAGTAAGATTATAGCGATTCAAGCCTGTCTTAAAGGGTAATGGGAGGGGTTGTGAGCACGTGCTTTTTGCCCTATATATGAATAATTCCCAAAATTTCAAACAAAACAATTTTTTCTAGTATTTTATAAATTTTTGTGAATTTTGTGGCATTTTTTGGTAATTGTTGCATTTTTATTTGTGCATTTTAATCCATATGAAAATACCAAAAATATGCATTGGCATTTAGGGATTTAATTTCACAATTTTAGTATTAATTAGTTTTAGAACAAAATGTAAAGAAAATTGCAAGAAAATAGTTCTTTGCATTGCTAATTATTGCATTTGTCTTTAAATAGAGTTATAAGTAATTTTAGGAGTTAAATAGTGTAATTAGGTCTTTGCTTTGTTTTAGCATTTTATAAAATCAGAAAAATAAATAAATACAAAAAAATACAAAAATAGATAAAGAAAAAAAAAGGGGGGGAAAAAGAAAAATTAAAAATGGTCTTGATTGGAGACCAAATTTGGGCCAAAATCAGTCAGCCCAAACGAAATCCCCAATCCAAGACGGTCCATACCCGCCCCTGTAACCCGGTCCAGCAACCCCATTCAAAACGACACCGTTCTGCCCAGGTGAATCTCATCCGTTGATCCTTCAAGATCCAACGGATGAGAACTAAGTCTCAAATCCCATAAAACTGTCCGAAATTAACCCAAAACCTAAAAACATTCTTTCATCTTCATCGTACCCTGTAACGCAGGTGCCGGCCACCCTCCTCCGCCCTATCCCCACCGTCCCTCCGCCGTCCGCCGCCGGCCGGAAATCGTCGCCGCCGGCGGCGATACTCCGATGACCTCCAAAATTACACCACCGGTTCTCCGCGTTCCCCTCTTTCCATCCCTGCCCTTAGTTTCCCTCGAATCTCGCCGGAGCTCGTCGAATATCTTGACAAAATTTTCCGGCCAAGTCGCCGGTTATGCCAAACGGGCCCAAATTAACACCATGGGACCGCCTTGACCTCCTCTACCCAACCCCCATAGCCACTTGTCTCGAACATGGCCGGAACTGCTCAAATATTAGATCGAAAATCTGGGCCAAAACATCAACTCACCCAAATCCAACCAAATTTACACCATATACTCTTCTGACCTCCCTCCACCTGAATCCCTAACCAGAATCTTTCGAATATTACCAAAGCTTCTCGAATTTTAGATCTTAGACTGGCAGAACCCTAGCTCAGAAAATCTTGGGGGATTTTGGACCGTAATTTCCCTAATCATGTGTGTTCTTTTGAAAACACACGATTAGGGATGTTACGTGTCAAGAATCCCGGAGGATTCAAACAAAAGGTCAGAGTTTCCCCATGGTCAGTCGAATGCTCTAATTCAGTAAGTTTGCTGATTACTTCTATTTTTGATTCTTATTTTTGGGGTTCCGTATCTGTTCTAAGTTTAGTTTACGATTTGTTTCGAGTCTGGTCGATCCTGTTTGAGCTTTGTTTGGATTTCAATTCGTTCCTCAACATCTGAACTGATTAGTAATCTCTTATGGTTGCTGTTAGTTAGCATTAATTAGTTTAGTTTAGTTTAATTAGTAATCGTATTAACAGTTCCATGTTTAGGGTTTAATTAAGTTTTATGATTTGTTAATGTTCTTCGTGGAGGTACTGTTTCAAAGTAATAAAAGTAGGCAACCCTCATCGGATTCAAAAAAAGAGTTATTTTCAAAAAAAAAAAAAAAAAAAAAGAAGGAAGTTATTTTCAAAGTAGGGGTGTTTTCAAAATAGTTAGATTTATTGGACCGAACTACGCTGGTTTGATTCTCACCGGATGTGAGATACGTAGGCAACCCTCATCGGGTCCAATCACCCTTTTGCAAAAATAGCCGAAAATGTCAATTTTTATTTTTGTCATAAATAAATCAGGGGGTGCCGTTTTGTCAAAAATAGCCGAATGTCCCCAAACGGGCGCCGGAAGGCTGTTTGTGCAAAAATGGCCATCTTGAGTCATTTCCCAACGGTCAACGGGTACAGCCTTAAAATCTTCTCCCCGAAGTGCTGAAAGCCGTAACTGCCAAACCGGCCGTTTGTTTTAAATTGGAAATTTGAACAAAAATAGTGTTATTTGCTTTTCTTTGTTAGGTCAAATAATTTATTAAATCACCTTAATAAATGTGCAGGATGAGCACGACTCAAAATGAACCCTTTTCAATCATGCATAAAATCCCTTTGGAGTTGCGTATGTGGTGGAACGATTTGGGCAAAGAAGGGCAAGATGCGGTCAAGAAACATTTGAAAGGGCTCACCGGTCTGCTTGATATTGTGCCTCGGGGAGATATTATTAGAGCACTGGTCACATGTTGGGACCCAGCACATAACGTGTTCCATTTTTCGGACTTTGAGCTTACCCCGACATTGGAGGAAATAGCTGGCTACATTGGAAAGGATGAGGTTCCGTTGAGGCACAAATACTTGGTTGCTCCCAGAGTTGTAGCTGTACACAAATTTCTAGACTCCTTGAAGATAGTCAGGGCCGTCCATAACACAGACCTGGCAAATGATTTTTGTACCCTAAGCTTCATGTATCATCGCTATGGTCATATTGGGGGGTTCAACAACCCAGAAAGNGGACACTGGGATGGTACCCCGTTTGATGAAATTGTATATATGCCGGCAGCCCGACCACATTTCCTTCAATGGGGCTTAGAAGCATTCAGCCTTACACCCCGTATCGAGTGTTGAGGCAGCTGGGGAGATGCCAGATATTACCCAAGGATGAAGATCTTAGTTTGCAAGTGGTTGAGATTGGCCCTGATGGTCAGTTCCCTGAAGCAATAGTTCGCCAGATTTGGAACGAATGCCAATACTTAAAAAGGGATACTTGCGTACAGGATCGGGCCAAAGGCGAAGTGTCGCCCGGATATCTTGCTTGGTATAGAAGAGAATGTGAGCACGAAAGGCCAGCTAAAAGACCACACATCCAGGACTTTGCTGAATCATCGCAAGAACAGTGGGCTTGGTTAGCTAAAGAAAATGAATACAGGGCCCGCATAGGAGCATTTGAAAAACAGGTCCAAGACCTCCGATTTGAAAACAGCTTGCAAGCCGCCGCTGACGAAGGTGAGAGAAAAAGATTGGCCAAAGAGAATGAAGTCTTACGAGCCCAAATCCAAAAGATGAAGCTAGAGGCCGACAACCCCGTCAGAAGTGCCAAAGATACAAAGCTTATAGCAAATCTAAGGCAGAAGGTGAATGATTACAGTTTTGACCTCGACAAAGCAGAAAAGGAATTAGTTGGGGTCCGGAGACAGTTGGCTAAAAATGCAGAAGAACGGGCTCGCATGACTAAGCAGTTAAAAGAAGAATATGACAATAAAGGTCGCAAAGATTAAAGGAAAAGGCCACTGCGCAGAAAACCGAA